GTTGCTGTGCGTAAAGTACGGCAAGCCAAGTGTCCCATTAATAGCTGCTTTTACCACATGTCTGCCTATTAATGGACCACTTGGCTTGCCATAAGGATGAAGACGCTTCATCCCCGCGGGACATGCTGTCCCCGTCTCTGCTGGGCAGGAGCTGGTGCGCCTGCTGCAGCCGTAACATCCACTCCACAGACTGCGCAACGTCTCCTCTCGTTGCATTTTTAATAAATAATCAAAATAAACACGCGCGATGACTTTGGACTTTTAGGGGCGGAGATTTTAGTTGCCAGATCCGAGCAAACATGTTGCCAGAACACAACCAGGTCAAAATGAGAGAGTTTCTGGATCTTGTTCCGGCAGAATCCAACTCAAATAAAGAACTGGAAATGTCATTTATGATTAAATCAAATCGATGTCTAAATAATTCCTGCATTTTTGGGAAAATAACTTTCCCGTAAAGGTGAGACAACTGGAAGGGCACCAGTCGACCCCCCTGGACTGACAACATGAAAATGTGGGTGGGAAAGGTGAAGCACCCACACCTGCCTCCACCCTTGTTTGCCTGGGCCCTTAAAAAAAAAAAACCTTATCTTGTTTCTTTAAATAATCTCAAGACCCCAAACTTGAAGCTTTGTGACCACAGTGGGGACTGGAGCCTGGCTTTGCAAACCATTGGAATATAAATCCTCCAGCATGTCTCCTTCCGTAGTTCAAATAATCAAATAAACACTTATTTTAAAGGAAAAAGCTGCTGGGTGAAAAAAAAAAAAAAAAGAAAATTTAGAAATTAATAAAAAAAAAAATTCAAAAAGATAAACTAGCTCAGAAGCTGAAAAAACAATTTATATTTGGCTGGGAAATGCATGGAGACACCAACACAAAGGTTTAAAACTGCGAAATTCTTCTCTTTTTAGTTTGTTTTGTTTTTTCTTAAACGGAACACACAAAACTATCCGAGGAAAACAGTTGAGAGAAATGTACTTACAGAGTGAAAACAGCCAAGGTTCAGTCTGCAGCTCATGCATCATTCCGCCGGCGGCGGCTGGAGCTTTTCAACGAAGAAGAAACGTCGGCGGTGTGGCAAAGGGAGGCGACGAAGAAGAATGAGCAGAATGCTAAACGGAAAATAGAAGGGACGGCTTCTGTTCAGTGAATGTTAAACCCGTTACCTCGCACCACCACGTCTGAATTGAGCCGCATTATATTAGCCTAACTATGACAGAGCCTCAGTCAGCGCTGTTACTCAGGAGACAGCTTGCAGGTAATTAAACCTCGTCGGGAACAGGGACGTGAAACGATCGCGTGTGTTGGCGCAAACTGTTTTCTTTGATCTTCCACGTTAACAGTCCCGTGACGTGATCTACGTGGTGAATGCGAACCGTGGCGCTAAAACGCGTCGTTGTGTTGAAATGTAAACGTGTTCTTCGATGTAGCAGGCTGTGAGCTGATGAAAACCACTGTCACAAGCGCCAACGACTTCTGCTGCCAGGCTAAGGCTAGCTTTAGCCGAGTCGGCTCGATGTGTTTACATGTGTTTCAACCGAAATATCACATGTTGACACATGACGTTTCCTGGTTATTATCGTAACGAATGGCCACCTATTATATATACGCTTATAAGCCGTTATTGTGGCACCAATTGGAGCAGTTTTCTCCCTGACCACCGCGGAACATAATGTAGCCACCTCACGACAGCTGGAGGCTAACGTTAGCCGCTTAGCTTCGAGGCGCTAAGCTAACACGCTAATCTCGCATTACTGTAGCTCTCTGTTTTAGCAGGGTCAGCTGCAAAATAAATTTAGCTACGCTAATAATAGCCACCCTCCAAATGCAGCAACCTTCAGCCCGCACCATGTAACTTTTAGGCGTAGTTTGTTAGCACGAGTTTACCCATGCCGTGAAATCATGTGTTATTTTTCTGCCTCTTTCTGCACATAACTGGATCTTTTGCTAAATCTCCCAAGAAATTAACAGAGAAGCTACATCTCCTCTTATTTAAAACAAACAAAAACTAGTCTGTTTTGATTTGGGTTCATATACAAACTACAGATTAGTGACATATTTGAAACAGATCATGTGAAAGTAATTTTCGTCCCCAAAAACAAGAATAAATGTGAAACCATAAGGCAGCTGTGTGACCGCTTGTTGACAGCTTTGGGGTGTCAGTTAAAAGCTTAAAATCAACCATTTTGTAAGAGAGACAAATCAGATAAAGCTCTCTCTCTTTCAAATGTTTGAGTTTGACAAACAAATACGACCGCAGGAAAGTTTACTTTGAATACCAACCATTTGTGGAATTTATTTAAAGTAATGTAGCAACATTTAAGATTGTAAATTGACATGTCCCTGTAATCTGTAATTGGTTTTCAATTTGCATCCAGAATTGCAGCAGAATGTCATAATTTAATACAAAATTAGTACCTTGCTAATTAGCAGTTTTCTTTATATTATTTAGATTTACAAAAGTTGCATTTGAGATTTCTGTCAAAAGGCAAGGACTTCTATTATCTACGTTTATGAATAGTAGTGTATTGATTTAATCTGGCAACAACCTTTAATGTTCAGAGGTGCAGTTTTATTTTTGTTAGGGTGGATCAACCAGTTTGCTGCTGAGAAGGCGCTATTTAAGAGACTGAGCTGAAGACAGCACCTCAGACTGAGGAAGTCTCTCGGATGAGAGACGAAACGTGTCTACATTTTTTTGTTGTTTTGTTTTTTTGAATGTCCAGAGGACCAGATTGAACTTTTTTTTAGATTTTTCTACCTTGATTATTGAGCATGCATCATGACAACCTGTTATGTGGTTCACTGATTTGCTCCTTACACAACTTCCAGGCAATACCCCAAAAAATGAATGTTAGCTTGGAGCTCAGTAACATTGTGAACCTACTATGATATAAGCCAGAGTTTTTAAGCTCTTGTGTTTTTATGTAGAGTTGAACAAAAACCCAGTGGAGGGATTCTCAGCAGGCCTCATTGAGGACAGTGACCTCTACAGATGGGAAGTCCTTATCATCGGCCCTCCAGACACGCTGTAGTAAGTCTGACTGAGCTGTTTGGGTGTGCTTAAAGGACGGGAACACCTCATGAGCTACCTGTTAAGAAGTTAATGCAATGTTCATTTATTGATTTTTTTTTTCCTGTTGTTTGTGTTTTTTTTTTGTCTCCACAGTGAAGGTGGTGTGTTTAAAGCTCATCTGACGTTTCCCAAAGACTACCCACTCAGGCCACCTAAAATGAAATTTATCACAGATATTTGGCATCCTAATGGTAGGTGAAGAAGCACGACTGTGTAAAAAGTGGTTGTTGTTTAGAAAGTATTTGAAGGTGTAAATACTGTAATTTCTTTAGTCTGTTTTGAAATATCAAAAGTGACAAAATTTTGTATAATACATATTACACACCTAAATTAATGTTTATTATCGCCTGCTTTTAACTTTGGATAAATTAAAATAAACTGAAGAGTAGTTTAGCACAAGAGTAGGTGCTTGAACATTTGTGAATCCTTTAGAATTTTCTCTATTTCTACATAAATATGACCAAAAAAAAAAAACCAATTCACACAACTCCTAAAAGTAGATGAAGAGAACCCAGTTAAACAAATGAGACTAAAATATTATACTTGTTCATTTATTTATTGAGGAAAATGATCCAGTATTACATATTTGTGATGGTAAAAGTATGTGAACCTCTAGGATTATCAGTTAGTTTGAAGGTGAAATTAGAGTCAGGTGTTTCAATCAGTGAGATGATGATCAGGTGTGAGTGGACACCCTGTTTGATTTAAAGAACAGCATCTGTCAAAGTCTGCTCTTCACAACACGTTTGTGGAAGTGGATCATGAACAGAGGAGATTTCTGAGCAGCTCAGAAAAAGAGTTGTTGATGCTCATCGGGCTGGAAAAGGTTACAAAACGTCTGAAAAGAGTTTGGACTCCACCAATCCACAGTCACACAGATTGTGTGTGGAAAGAGACACAAACACAGACTGGCTGGTTAACGTCAGTGTTTCCCCTACCATTATACAGGCAGGGTGCCCCACCCCGTCAACAGAACTGAGCACCCCGCCTACCAAGCTGAACTTCCCACCCAGCTCTGACATCACTAAGGTAGCGGCGCAAAATACAGGCTCTCTAGCTAAAAAGCCAAAGGCTGCACTCACATTGCCTCTTCCCTCATGTTGAACGCCCCCCACCCCAGCTCAAAAACTGTTAGTATAAGCTGCGCTCAGACATGTCTCCGTCCCCCCCATCAGCAAAAATCATAGATGAGATGAGCACCCGCCATGGCAAGCTAACTAGGGGAAACACTGCTATGAAACAAAAAATGATGATGATGAAATAATTACAAACACAAACCTGAACAGTAGAGCATGTAAAGCCTGCAGCAGCGTGAGGAAATATGGGCCGGTTGTCCTCCAGCAGTCTTAAGTTTATAGCAGCAGAACTAAGGGATACTTCAGCAAACCCAAGCCTAACTACAGGATTTATCAAAAAGGAAAGACTTAAGCCTAGTCTTAAAAGTAGACGAGGCGTCAGCCTTACTGACAGAAACTGGATATTGGTTACATTAGAGAGGAGCCTGATGATTAGAAGCCCTGACTCCCATTCTACTTTAGAAACTCTAGGAACCACAATAAACCTGCAGTCTGGGAGCAAAGTCTTCTGTTAGGAAAATATGGAACTATAAGATCTGTAATATAAGATGGAGTTTGATTGTTGCGTGTTTTGTATGTTAGAAGTAAAGTTTTATAAAGTCCAATGTTTCCCCTACCATTATACAAGCGGGGCGCCCCGTCAACAGACCCGAGCGCCCCGTCTACCGAACCCCACCCCCACCCACCTGTCGGCACTGACGTAACGCTAAACTAGCGGCTCGCAATGCAGGTGTGCTAGCTAAAAAGCTAAAGGCAGCCTCTTCCTTCATGTTGAACCCTCACGCTGAACGCACCCCCGCCACTCGAAAACTGTCGGAACAAACGGCGCACGGCTCAGATGTGCGTCTGTCTCTCCCCACGCCGACCCCCACGCCAAAAAAGAAAGACTGTCGGTTCGGACAGCGCGCAGCTGAGATGTGTCTCTGTCTCTCTCCTCACTCACCCTGCTCTAAAACTGTTGGTTTAAACAGCGCGCTGCGCAGCTTAGGACGAGTCCCCGTCCGTCACCCCCCACCCACAACAATCAGGACCAGATGAGCGCCCCACCATGGCAAGTGATCTAGGGGAAACACTGAAATCTATTCTGAATTTGACTGGGAGCCAAGGGAGGGAAGCTAAAATTAGATAAATATGATCTCTCCTTGCTCTCATCAGAACTCATAGCAGTGTTTTGAATCAACTGAAGACTTTTTAAAGTTTACCGGGGCATTCTGATAATTAATAAAAAAAGTACTGCAGTTAAGCCTAGAAGTGATAAATGCATGGACAGTTTTTCTGCATCGTTTTGAGACGAGATGTCAAAGTTTAATGATTATTGTTCAGGTGGAAGAAATCGGTCCTGGTACCGTATTTTCCGCCGTACCCGTCACACCGCTCTGCAAGTCGCTCCAGTCCAAATATGTACAGTGAGGAAAACAAGTATTTGAACACCCTGCGACTTTACAAGTTCTCCCACTTAGAAATCATGGAGGGGTCTGAAATTTTCATCTTAGTTGCGTGTCCACTGTGAGAGACATAATTAAAAAAAAATCCAGCAATCACAATGTATGATTTTTTTAAATATTTTATTTGTGTGTTACTGCTGCAAATAAGTATTTGAACACCTGTGAAAATCAATGTTAATATTTGGTATAGTAGAGTAGCCCTTGTTTGCAGTTACAGAGGTCAAAGGTTTCCTGTAGTTTGTCACCAGGTGTGCACACACTGCAGCAGAGATGTTGGCCCAGTCCTCCACACAGATCTTCTCTAGATCAGCCAGGTTTCTGGGCTGTCACTGAGAAACGGAGTTTGAGCTCCCTCCAAAGATTTTCTGTAGGGTTCAGGTCTGGAGACTGGCTAGTCCACTCCAGAACCTTGATATGCTTCTTACGGAGCCACTCCTTGGTTCTCCTGGCTGTGTGCTTCGGGTCATCGTCATGTTGGAAGACCCAGCCACGACCCATCTTCAATGCTCTAACTTTTCTTAGGATCATTGATACGCCACGAGGTGAGATCTTGCATGGAGCCCCAGTCCGAGGGAGATTGACAGTCGTGTTTAGCTTCTTCCATTTTCTAATAGTTGCTCCAACAGTTGATCTTTTTTCACCAAGCTTCTTGGCAGTTGCCCCGTAGTCCTTTCCAGCCTTGTGGAGGTCTACAATTTTGTCTCTGGTGTCTTTGGACAGCTCTTTGGTCTTAGCCATGTTAGTAGTTGGAGTCTTACTGACTGTGTGGGGTGGACAGGTGTCTTTATGCAGCTA